GAGAGAGAGAGAGAGAATTAACGAATAGAATTTCCTTACTTTATAGGTCGATATGATTGTTCCTTAACTTCTTCTAATTCCCACGTATTCATTAACAACTTTCATAAAATTGTGTTTTCACGTTTTGCATTTATATTTTACATTAATTAAATGTAAAATCAAACGGATGTGAATATGCGTTTTTAGCAAATTTTTTTTTTTTTAGCATATCACGTCAGAAAGGAAAAAACGCTGTTTTACATAACAATCGCGTAAAATCGGTTTCCAGTTTAGAAATACAAACTGATCAAAATGATAAAATGTAGATTGTTGAATTTGCGCAATTTATTGAAAGTAAATACCTTTTCGATAAAATTATCAATGTTCATTAGAAATTCCCGTAATTTTCGATATTTATCATTTTTATTCATCTTTGTTATATTTCCATTCAATCGAACAGATTATCATTCAAATTTGCTCAAAAATTTCCCGAGCTTCTCGTCCAAAAACCAAGTTTCTCGTAATTATCGACGTTTCGACGAAAAATTCTTATTTCAAAGTAATTATTATTTGTTGAAAAATCGTTTGTTTCGAACCGAGGCTTAACTTTTTTCACGCGTTACATCGAAGAGAGCGATTCGTGATGCACGAGACTTTTCCAATCGACGAAACGTAATCTCATTTTCCACTAGAAACCTTGTCTCGCCAGCCAGTAATAAGAACGGATTCGAGCCTCGTTGTGCGTAGAGGCTAAAACACGAGCGATAAAATCGATTTCAAGAAAAATAAGTTCACGAGTTGATCGAATTAATGTAATTACACGGGAATTATGAAGTATTCGATAATGCTCGTTGCGATATTTCAAGGGAAAGATCGGGAATAAAATAAAAAGCGACAATTATAATATTTTCACTCTATTACCGTTACACATCGTGTCGAGAGCTGCGAGTAAGTTTCGACCAATCGCGTGGAGATTCGAACGAAATTTTAATAGGTTGGGCAAAGTTGGCTGAACGCCAATTATTTCACAACGGAAGTTGTGAGTCGTCGAAACATTTGTCGAAAGGACAAAGGTAAAAGGAAAACAAGGAAAGATAGAAAATTTTGCTTCCTCGATAATTATTAAAAATTAATTCGACTTCGCGTTAAACTTTTATCTTTATCATTTCACTCTTGTCGTCCACGCACGACGCGTACGATGCTACAAAAATAAAAATTTTTCCGGGATTTATCGAGCAAGTAAATCGACGCTCGTGTTGTTTTTTTAATTCCCCTGCCTCCCTTCTTTTTTTTATTTTATCCATACCTCTCAATTTGTTTGTTTTTTTCCACCTGTCAGTTAAATCGAAGAATTAATCGACGTCCGTCAAAGTGGGAGGAAAGAGAGAGAGAGAGAGAGAGAGAGAGAAGGTTGGATAAGTGAAAAGGATGTCGTGTGGTCGAGTCGAGAATAGAAGGATAGAGATATCGAGATATAAAATTTACGTCTCCGGTTGCGAATTGCTTCGAAACGATTAAAAAACATCTGTGTGGGTGAAAATTCGAGAAACGAAGGTAAAAAATTCGAAATAAAAGAATGGATACAATAAGAATTCAAGCTCAATTGTAATTTTTTTTTTTTTTTTTTTTTTTTTTAGGTATTTTAGAATTTCGTGGAGAAAGATTGGCGAACGACACTGAAATAGATTATTCTCAATATACAATTACGCGCGCTGTTGTTGGCATCAACGCGTGTATAACATTAGCACGCGGATTAGATAATGATATCGATCTTATCAATATTTATTACGCAAAGTGTAACATATTTAATAGTATCAAATAGGATTATCTAGTCATTTAGTGACAAAGGTCGAGTCTTTTCTTTTTTTTTTTTTTCCGTTATAACGCCGATCTCGTGAGAACAAAGTCCAACAGCGACAATAGAAATAGAAGAATAAAATAAAAGAAAAAAAAAAAAAGAATAAGAGCCTCGAAAAAATTTACTTAGCAACGAAAAAAATAAGCCGAGAAAACGCGAAGCGAAATTCTATCCGAATTTCTCTGTCTCACACCCACGATTTTTCTTGCCGTTTCTATCCATAGATAGCGAGTTTATCGTTTACCGGATGCAGAGTGTTAATTATTTACACGGGAATCTAATCACGACGGGGCGAAAGCAGAATCTTTGAACCGTGGCTCGTCGAAATCGTTTAGACCGCGGATCGAGTGGAACGCGTTTCGAGCATTCAGAGTTTCGCGTTTAAGTTGGCAAAGTTAATATGCGGGAGGAAGGAGGGCGCGACGACTCTAAATTGGAAATAGCACGAGCCCGCATCTCTCGCGCCATCTTTCCTCCAGGCGCATCCATCGCTAAATATTTGGCCGCATTCGCGAGAAAATTTTCTTCGCCCGTCATAGCGTTCGGCCACGAAATATTCGAGCAATAGCCGTGTTTTTTTGCCGCGGGAATTTCGTACGGCTTTGACAGAACGACATACCATTTTGGGTTTCCAATAAACTCACGTGTCTCGACCATTGCGACGTAATCGTATTAGCCGCGCGTTATCTAAATCGCTTTTTTTTCGTTTTGTCCAAGGAAGGAGCACACATTTTATTACCGCAGAAGAAGAAAACAGTTTCCAACTTTAGATTATTATTCTTGGAAATTTATTATTTCAATTATTTTACGAACGCTTTTTATTTTACGGATGAAAATTTTCTTGTAGCTGTTCGAAAGAACGTACTCTTCCAATCGTTTAGATCGTTCCAAATTTCTTTCTACTTTCGTTCTTCGAAAGAACATACTCTTCTAATAAAATGTAGATCGTTCTATGAACGCCTGAAAGAAAAAAGTTTCTAACTTTGGACTTTTAATTCTTCGAAAGAATTCTTCCAATTATTTGGATCATTCTATGAGCGTTTCCAAGAAAAAAGTTTCTAACTTTGGATTATAATTCCTCGAAAAAATTCTTTTTCAATCGTTTGGATCGTTTTATGAAAAGAAGAAAATTTCGTTTGAGCTTCATTCTTCGAAAGAACATAATAATCTAATTATTTGGATCGTTTTATGAACCCCCTGTTTTTAATTTTATTTCACAGAAGAAAATTTCTTTATAGCTCTTCGAAAGAATATAATCTTCCAATCATTTAAATCGTTTTATGAGCACTCTTTTTAATTTTATTGCACGAAAGAAAATGTTCTTATAGCTTTTCGAAAGAACGTACTCTTCCAATCGTTTAGATCGTTCTTACAAGCGTTCCAAAGAAGAAAGTTTCGTTCTGCCCTTCATTCTTCGAAAGAACATAGTCTTCCAGTTAATTAGATCATTCTATGAGCACTTCGAAAAAAAAAAGTTTCTAACTTTAAATTATAATTCTTCGAAAGAATTCTTCCAATTATTTGGATCATTTTATGAACGCTTCTTTTTGATTTTATCCCACGAATGAAAATTTCCTCGCAATCTCGAAGCATAGTTCTTCGAAAGAATACAATCTTTTAATCATTTAGATCCTTTTATGAATGCCTGAAAAAAAAAGTTTCTAACTTTAATTCATAATTCTTCGAAAAAATTCTTCCAATTATTTGGATGATTTTATGAACGCCTCCTTTCGATTTTTTATTTGACGGAAGAAAATTTTTATCTATACTCTTCGTTCTATGAGCGTCTCAAAGAAAAAAGTTTCTAACTTTAAATTATAATTCTTCGAAAGAATTCTTCCAATTATTTGGATCATTTTATGAACGCTTCTTTTTGATTTTATCCCACGAATGAAAATTTCCTCGCAGTCTCGAAGCATAACTCTTCGAAAGAATACAATCTTTTAATCATTTAGATCCTTTTATGAATGCCTGAAAAAAAAAGTTTCTAACTTTAAATCATAATTCTTCGAAAAAATTCTCCCAATTATTTGGATGATTTTATGAACGCCTCCTTTCGATTTTTTATTTGACGGAAGAAAATCTTTATACTCTTCGTTCTATGAGCGTCTCAAAGAAAAAAGTTTCTAACTTTAGATCATAATTCCTCGAAAAAAATTTTTCCATTCGGATTTGGATCGTTCTGTGAGCGCTCGAAAGGAGAGAATTTCGTTCGAGCTTCAAAAAGAACATAATCATCCAGTTCTATTGAGCTCGAAGAAAAAAAGTTTCTAACTCGAGACTGTAATTCTTCTGAAGAATATTTAGATCGTCCTACGAACCCCTCCTCTTCTTGATTTCATCACCCCTCAAAGAAGAAAGTTCCGTTCCAATTTCATATAGGTCGTTCGAAAGAAGTCGACTCTCTCGATCCATCATTCGTCCAATAATAATTTTTCAAGGATGAATCGAGGAATTCGTTCCGTTCGGGAAAATAGGAAAGGATTGAAATCTGTACTCGTCTCCCGATCCCCCTCCGTTCTCCTCCTCCTATTCTGTTCAGCGATTCCTTTCCTGATCCCGCAACGTGACCCGCCAATTTATCTAACGTTTACACCTGGAACGGGAGAGAACGGATAAAGCGCGGTGGAACGTGTTGAACGGTATTAATACGGTTCACGTTTACATTCGATTGGATCAACCGTTTGGGAATGAGACTGACAATGAGTGGGTGTTCGTTATGCGATCGATAGATGCACCGTTTGACGCAAACTATCGTGACCTGTTTATCAAACCGTACGCCATATTTATCCGTTCCTTAATTCATTATTTGTACGTTTGTAATATATTCTTATTCGTAATATCGATCGAATTTCGAATAAAAGCTTGGAAAAAAAGTTAATAATTTTATTGATATTTATTGGCAAATAAATCGATAAATTGGAGAAACTATTTTAACCGCTGTGATATCATTTTAATGCTGATTACGAGGCTCGTTTTTCGAAAAAAAAATGTTTGAAAATATCGTGTGTAAGAGAATTTTCCAAGTTAAAAAAAGTTATATAATTATCGATTAATAATTTTTTAATATTTATTGGCAAATAAATTGATAAATTGGAGAAACTATTTTAACCGCTGTGATTTTTCATTTTAATGTTAATTACACGCTCGTTTTAATTCCATCCAACAACTTGTTATTTTCCGTTCCGTTCTTCTCCTTTCGTTGGCAATCGAGGCAATCGATTATTCTAATTAACAAGACGAATTTGTTTTCCATCCTATACCAATCTTACTTCGAATGATAAAATGTTAGTTAATAATTTTCAATCCACGCAAGCGAAACGTTGGAACGCACGAGAGCAGCAGAAAAAAAAACGTTACGCAAAAATTTTGCTGAATCGATATAACCTGCGATATAATTCGAAGGCTGCGAATTTATGATTCCTCTTCCCCAGAAGAAAGAATAATTTTAGATAACATTTTTACCCAAGCTCAATACGGTTGATACTAATCGTTATACGTAAGAAATTACGAGGCAAACTTTACGGGGGAAGATACACGGAACTTGTTGGCAACTGTGATTACGTAAATCAAGTTTAATCAGCGCCTCGGCTACCTAACAGCTCGTGGGACTAATTTTGTTTACTCGTACGAGTTTACGACGAGGCCGGTCTTTTCTCGAGGAAATTTTCGATCCGCGGTGGTATTTCGAAGAATTGCACCGTTTAATTTTAATTCTTCGATCTTCTAAATCTATTCCACGCCGAACGATAAACTGTAGTCGAGGGCCACTCCATTATCCCGATTAAAATGCCTAATACGATTTCTGCCACTTCTCCTCGAGAGTAGAAAGTTGAAGGAAGAAATTCCCAAGTGAAAAGATCCTTGGACGAAAGGTATTCATTGCGGAAAGATTAATCGATTTACTTGCGAATTCATTTAGCACAGCGAATCGACAGATAAGATGGATGTACTTCTTCTCCCCTCTCCAACAGTTTCGCTCGCGAGATTTGTTCTTTCTGCGCGTTGCGAGTTCACGATTCGGCAGGGAAAGATGGAAGAAATTGTTCGAAAACGCGGGGAGACGCCATTTTCACGTGTTCAAGACTTCGTATATTCGGACCTGAAAAATCGTTAGTCTAATTAAGTTGAAGGGAATTGGCGAGCGGATCGATCGGTATGGCACAAAGGACTTAATTGAAAGTAATTCTTGTAGGAAATTACATAGGACGTAGTCAAATGCCGCCTCCTTTTGTTCGCCTCTTTTCTGCTTTACATTCTCTCTTCCTCTCTTTTTCTTCCCATCCAAGCTCTCCTCTGACAATTTATTCTGGATTCTTAAAACGTCTCTTGGATACTATCAATTTTTTTTCCTCTCGTGGATGGATTTTCTCCTCTCGCGGCAATAGCGAATTCTTTAATTCTTGGCAAAAAAGAAAAAAAAAAAGGAAGGTGAGTTAGATTCGATTTCGATTATCTATCGCACTTGTCCTTAAAAGAGTCAAAAAATATTAATAATATTTACAAAAAAAAGTATCACACTTCTATTTTTTAAGAGATTTTTCAATATATATATATATATATTCAATATATATATCGTCATATCAAATCTAACCTCAATGTAAACCATGAAACGAGAAATTAAATAAATTATTTTTGTTTGACCGATTAATTTATATTTTTTTAATTAATTTTATATCAAAATTAGATAAAAACTTATTTAATGGTTAATCAATTTGATAGTTTACATTACATTTGGATTAATTTTTTTTAATTAATTTATCTTTAACATATGATTAAAACTGATCTAACCTAATTTAAATTTTTGTTAATAACTTTTTAATAAAGAATGTCTTTTTACTAATTGTCGAAATGTTTCCTTGCGTTGTTACACTTTTGATCGTCGATTTTTATTTGTTATATTAAATTTTTTTTTATTTTATATGAGAAAAGAGGTTATTATCGTTAGGCTATTTTGAATATTACAAAAAGAAATAATAATTTAAGAAAAATTAAATTAAAATAAAAAACATTGATGAACAAATGAAAAACATCTTTCACTGATAGAAGAAACAATCGTATCGAGATAGGATTGCCAAATTGTTTGCTACGTCAATAGATGATATCAGTTGTGGCCGCAAGCTTTCGAAGTGTTTTTTTTTTTTTTTTCTACAAGCTCGTAAAACTTTATCCTCTTACAGGCAGAGCAACCACCTCTCGATCAGTCTCTTCCTTTCTCGCGCAACAAATCCACCCGTAAATTCCACGATGAATTAAATTCCAGACTGAAAATGGAATTCTCTCCTCGATCGTGCGGGAGTCTATAAACGTATTTTTGGTTAGGTTAGGTTTGGTTCGACGCAAACGCAATCGCCATTTTTTCCCGCGAGTATACGATTTTAAGAGGCGAGATCTTGGAAAAGAGGTCAACGAAAAAACTCGAGCAAGATACTCGCCAAGGTATTTGCAACGATATTGTATCGTGAATAGAAACTTGCATTTTCGGAAGGAACTGGCTTAAAGTTTTTAGTTTTTCGAATATCGGCGATTTTCTAGATTAATTTCATTCAAATAAGTTTCTTTAAATAAATATTCGCATAAGGAATGAAGGAAAAAAATTCGATCGAAAATTCTTAGTTTTTTCTTAACCTAGGAAAATGTAGAAGGAAAAAGATAAATAAAACAGGAGGAATCAGCTGTGCAATGAAAGGGAAGAAAAAGTAAAGGAGAATGGGAAAGAAATGAGCAAAGGTTTTCCAGATCGAGAGATGGATTCTCGATTAGTCTTTCTTTCTTCCTTTTTTTTCTTTTCTTTTTTTTTTTTTATTTCCATTTCGAAGCTGTAAATGTTTTCCACCATTTCCTCGAGTCGAGGAAGCACGAAAAGAGCAAAAAAGCATTTGCCTCGCCTGCTGCAATGAACGCGATTGCCATTTATTCTGTCTATCGCGTTGAAAAAGGTAAAGAAGGAAGAGGTATGCAAAACGAAATCGAAAACAGTTTAATTGCGAAATAGACCGAGATTGAATTACCGATATAATTTAACGGTGAAATTTAAAAATTACACTTGCGTAACAGTTTATATCATCGACACCTCATTCTGTTCAACGTATGTATGCTTCTTTTAAAATAAATCTTTTCTTCTTCCAAACTTATTCTCATTCCTCTCGTCAAAAGATTTCTTCGAACATCTTTACTTTTTTGTTCTTCCACCTCGCTACCTTCAAGGATAACTTCTTCGGGGTCACGAAATCTTAGAAGTAAGATTTTCCGCAATTTTCCTTTTCTCGTACTTTCTCCACTTTTATCTTCATCCGTACCTTTTGAAATATAAATCGAGGTTAAGAGAAATCAGTCTTTACCTTTTCATTTTATCCGTGCGATTGAATTAACCAGTTTTAAAGATTGTTTATCTCGACAACGATATTTTTCTCGAAAAAAAAAATATATATATATATATAAATAACATATTTGCTATCTTAATCAACTCGATAAATTTTCATTAAAAAATAAATGTTATGTATCTGTACACGAATATACCGATACGCGATAATTTTCAATCGAATTTTAACATTTTGCTGACTCAGATGTCCTAACCTATCCTATTTGAACGTTTGTTCATTCTAAATAAAAAAATTTTTTCCGCTAAATCTATCGTGAACAAATTGTAATATATGGAATAGAAGTATGGCTACGAAGTTACGTAAAATCGTTGAAGATAAATACAAATTTTTAGCTCGTTGCTTACAATCATCAATTCGGATGAAATGATTCTCTCGCAGGAAGGAAATGGAAATAGGTTGGAAATTGTACCTCTTTTTCTATCTCTGTTATGTTTCTCCGTTATGGAAAATCTTGCGATAAACTTCAATATTGCAATTCTTCCGAAAGAAATTTCCCGTAACTATACTCCCATATATTAGGATACAATTGGAAAGGTTTGTTTCGTTCGCCATCTTAAAAATTGCATTCACCGAATCGAATTTATTATTCGTAAAGATACGTAGATAAATACGAAATCGTTTTTGTTATGCTTAAAGCCACTGAATCCAAGATTTTCATCATTCTTTTATCGATATTTTGATAGTTTCTCGATTATCCATTATCGCATGATTACATAATATAGCACGATTTTTATGCTAAGAATTATGAAACGAATTATCGGCGAAACAAGTAATCGAATCAAGATGCTTTATTTTTATTTAGCGAACCACGTGACCGTGTATGCGCGCACCCAACGTTTCGTCAAAGCAAATGGAAATAGGTTAGAATCCTTTTCTTTCTTTTCTCTTGATTTTTCGAAAGCGGACGACTTGCACAAGCGCAAGAAAACGAAACTTTTTACACAACACTCATTTCCGACCAGCTTGAGTGTGCGTTACTCATGTTCCAAATTCTTTGCGAGGATAAAATTTATAACGTTCGTAAAGAAAACCACGTGAAAGAGCCGAAATCAAGCGACGCGTCCATATTGCGTTTATGTTTATCGCGATAGTTTATCTCGATCGATTCTTCGATGTATATACGCATATTCGACTTTGCGCGGTATCGATATTTCTGAAAAGAACGGATGAGAAACGCTCGTTAAACTCGATACATGTCTCGAGGGATATTGTATCGAACCTCTTTCGATCTAACCTTTCTTACAAATAGCTCTCCATACATAATTGAATGAGAATATTGTAGATACGAATTTAGAAGCCTCCTTGAAAACGTTTCATGTTCGATGCATCGATACATCAGATAATTAAAAATACAATTAAAATTATGGCGAGTAATTAACAATAAAAGCAATATCTGTAATTATTGAAGCGAAACGCGATTGTAGTTCTCATCCGGTTATTTTTATTAAAAATAAGGAGTTACTAACTTTCATAGATCGAAGCGGCAAAAGTGATTTCGATCTTTCTACTTTTTAAACGTTCTTCGCTAGTTTTCGTTTCTTTCTTCTTTACGATGTTCCTCTCGCTTCCTCGATCAAGCTTTGTACGACGAAAGTGGAACGTGTTTTCTCCTTAAGCTGTCGTAGTTCTCGCCTTCTGTAAAATATTCGAGTTTTTTTTTAATTCTCTCTTAACTCGAAACGTTCTTCGTTTTTTCATTCGATGTAGCTTTCGTACGAAAGAATGTTCCACAATGGAAGTTCGAAACAAAACGACTGCAATTTCATTTCACTGTATTAATGGATACAACAACAGAATCATAACTATAAAAATATAACTATAGAAATGTTATACGGGGAAATTGCTGCTTGTACACGATATCGCGTTCGTATTCGAAATCAAAGCCAAACTTCTGGATATTAATTGCGGTTTACAAGTTTCTGAGAGAAAGTAGAAAAAGTTTTACATAAAAAGTAAGGAGAAACATAAATATTTAATAATTTATCCGACGAATCGAACGAAACTAGTCTTCCCTTGAAAGGCAAATGTCTTATTAACGAGAGAAAGAACTTGGTAAATCTTTCATCGCGAATATAAAATTTCTCTCTCCTTTTCCATATCTCGCGTCTCTTTTCTCACGTTAAACCACGACATCTGATTTTCATTTCTCGAAACATGTTTGGATCGAAAGAATCCTTTCTCATCTACTATACGTTCAGTCTATTATACGTCTCTGCGAGTCTCGTTATTCCTGGCAAAGAATAAACGCTTAGAAAAAAAGCACGCGGCTTAAAATCGCGACAAAGAAGATTCATCTCGCTTTCGAGCAGAGGGCGTGCTTCAAAGTCTGTCTCTTAATCGAATCACATGCTCGTTCCTGCATTGAGGAAAGCGATTTCAAAGAAGCAAGGGAAATCGATCCGATCATCCGTCGAATTGCCGATTCGAGTTTTATATTTGAGAAAAGAACAGGTTTCGATAGACTCTATTCTCTATAATCGCGTTGAAAAGCTGCGACGAACGTCGGTCAATAAAAGTCCAACCTACCGTAGAATATCGATCGACATTGTTGGCTTGTGATTCAAGATGAACAAATACCGAGTTTTCCAATCTTTTTTTCTGCAAAAATTCTATCTTCTATCTTGTTGCCATCGAACATATATCGAGCTTCTCTTTATATCTGGTTGTTACGAAATTTCGAGAAAACAATGTTCCATTTTGAAAATTATTGGGGTCAATCGGTGAATCGTGGAAATAATGATGATACATTTGATGACATCATTAGATATTTAACGTTACATTTTTCTCGAGAAACATCGTTGAATAACCTTGACCATATTTAATAGATTGAACTTGAAATACGTAATATTCAATTACAAATGATTTCAATATTTCGTGTGACGATTCACGTGACGAGTATAGATTAAATACTTGATTATAGTCAATGATTCGAAGTATGATATAACTGCAAAAAAATAACATACATAACATGATAATAAAAGTTACTATTAAATATAAAAACATTTTATGTATTTTTACTTATTATTACATAATAGAATTAATAAAAATTCGTTTTTGGATTTCTTCGAAGATATGATAAGTAAATGATAATTAAATATAAATTCTTTCAAGTTTTCAAAGTTTACCAAAGTAATTCGCGCTTTATTCTACAAAGTAGCGTTTATAATGATATCTTATTTCCTGTATGTTTGTCTCGTGTAAACCTAAGTGTGTGCCAAGCATCGACTGCCAGATAAAACATAATCTTAACTAAAATTAACTTTGATAATATTGCACCGTTTACATCTCTATTTTCAACTTTTCTCCGCTTCACTATTACTTATTTAAATATTATTCCGCGATACAATCTCGAGAAAACATGGTGACGTTTTTGAATATAGGTTAGGAAAGGAATAAAACAAGACAAAATAAAACAACCAAAGATCGAAGAGCTAAAATTAATAACTCGAATTGTATTTCTTCCTTTATCAACGATCAAATAAAATAAGGAGATCTCGAGTACATTAATATCGGTTAAGATTGAAATTTAATCTTTGAAGTTTTGCACAAGAAAGTGGTATTTGCGTTAAGCTGTTACAATTAGTATGTACCATACACGCGATAAAACACGTATGATCCCTGTAATTTTGCCTACGCAGCTTCTATGCTCGGTGTTCTATTCCAGCTAGGAATCGGTGACAATGCTGTGTTCGCATACACGGAAATACGAGCGTAATACCATGTATGCACTCGATGCAATACGTTCTCGTCCACGTATGCTTCCACGAGTCGTGCACGTTCAGACTACACTATCCATTATATGTATACCTCGTTTAATCTCTCGTGCTTTGCATCCCTTTCCATCTTGAATCCGACTAATTCAAACACGAACCTTCTATCCTTACAAATCGTGGCAACCTAACCTAATCTACGAATCCACATCTCGATGAAGAATGTTTCTAATCTCACGTTTCACGAGAATTTGTGTATGTTTTTGTTTTTTTCTTATTTTATATATATATCTTATTTTTTTCTATCGCTATTTTTGTCAAGAATTTCTAATTAAGTTACGTTTCCAAAGTGATGCTTATTCTCAGTGCTTGCATCCTTTTTCATCTTCGAATCCGGCAATCTAACCTAATCTACGAATTCATTTCTCGATCACGAAGATCTCTAATAAGATCTCACGTTTTACGAGAGTTTATTTTCGTTTTTTTTTTATTTTATATCTTATTTTTTTTTATCGCTATATTTATCAAGAATTTCTAGTCAAATTACGTTTCCAAGATATTTATTCTCGATGCTTGCATCGTTTTTCGACTTGAATTCAGCAATCTAACCTAATTTACGAATTCGATCACGAATAATTCTAATCTCTTTTTACGAATTCACATGCTTTATATGTTTTTTACTCAATTCCATCGCGACTTTTATTAAAAATTTCCGGTTGATTTAATCGAGTTGCTTTAAAAATATCGCTCATTCAGAATCGTTTCGTTCCGGCGAGAGTGCAATAAGTGGTCAAAGCCAGAGAACGGGTCGCGGCCCGTTCGTTATTACCGTAAAACGAAGAAAGATATTTGCGAAAATATCTTTATAACGAGATCAATTAATTTTATTTCCATTAAACCGAATATTGTTAATATTGTTTTTTATTATTCGCGGGATAAAATAATTTCGTTTTTACGCGTGTCAAAAAGTAAACATCGCGTATCTAAATTCTTAATTAATATTGATTAAAATAAAACGAAGGATGGCGATATTATTTTTGGATGTGGAAGCTCCATTCGCTCGTTCTCGGTCGTCGTGATAATTCAAAGTGGAAGGCGTGACGCGTCGAAACACGAGGCACACACTGTATCATCAAATTTTCCCCCTTCTGTTTTTGAACGAGGCCGCGTTATTAATCGCGAGGGCGTGTTCCACGAGCGAGCGAGCAGCTCGGCCACGACAATGATCACGCAGTATTTCGCATCACACGACTATCCCTGTTCATGGGTAGTTGCGTAATGGCCAAGGTGATTAGATGGTATAATTAATGCACGCCCAAAGCTCAACCGAAGCGGACATTAATCTTGGAATAATGCTCCGTTTGCTTTCACCGACCAACTTCTATTGTGCTATTGCTCGAATGTTGAATCGGAGAAGAAAAGATTCATTTATCACTCGCATCACCCTGTTTCGACCACTTTCCGCCAAATTTTATCCACGAAAATAATTCTCGAACCGCGCTGGGAGTATCTTTGACCACTTCCTCTTGCTCCTCTTCGAAGGCACCACTGTAAAGATGGTGAAATAGGATTAAATCGATGCTTTTTCCAAGATTCGAACGAAATTAATAATTTTAATTTAATTATAAAGAGAAAGAAAACTATGTGTTTCCTTAAAAGGGGTTAACCTTTTTAATCGAAATAAATAAATTGCGATACAGTCATAATATTATAGCAGAACTTACGGCAGACCTCTTTATCGAAACACGACAAAGACGCTTATGACTCTTTGACTTCCCATCGTGAATACGGTTCCTCTTGGACGGATTATGCAAATGCGAGCGAATCCTCTTACTGTCCGCCCGCCTCGAAATAACTTGAGGTCTTATAAAATCGATTATCGTCTTTCATCCTAGAAAGAGATGTTACTTGTCATTTTTCCCTAAACGTCCCTAAATCCCTCGATAATTCTTAAAGTTTTAAAAGAAAACCTTTTCGAAGATGGACAATACATATATTATCACACGATGAAATTTCGTCCGACGAGACGAGTTTTCAAGGTTCGTGGAATTAGTCGAAACGTGTCACGTCAGGGGAATAAAGGAGTTCCAGCTGGTGGTCTGGAACAGCGTGGCAAGTTTCGAGGAGGAAAATACGAGGTTGGACGTGTACCGATGGACCGTCCAGGAAGACGAAACACGTACATCGAAATTTCATTCCACTCCCCTCGTATAATAAATTCTTCACAGTTTCTTTACCAATCAATTTACATCCCATCTGTAATACCTTCTTCCAAACACGTTTCCATCCTCCTCCTTAACGAAATGAGAAACCGCATCTGAAAATTTAAAACAATTTTCGAAAATTTTCCACCTCCTCTGAATTTCGAAGGGAACCTCCTCCTCGTGAAGGAGCTTTTCTCCTGTTCTCCTTTCCACTTACTTCCTTCCGGATTATCGAAATTCAAAAAAACGAAGAAGAAGAAGAAGCCAGCCAGTTAGTATGCCGGATCGTCGAAAGATTTTCCTTTTGCATCTTTTTGTGGGCCAAACAGGCGGAACAAGATATCTCTCTCTCTCTCTCTCTGTATTCTTTTGCAACGAGCGACGGTTCTGCTTTCAAGGAACCTCTGATAAAAGCATATCCTTGCCAAGCCTGAAAGGATTCGTTTAACGAAAATCGTGATATGAAAATGGGGAGATCAATTTATACCGTTGAGAGATCGAAAGCGGTTCCGTGGAACCGTGAATGTACTTATCGAATATATATATATATACCTCTCTTACCTTTTTCATCCTCGTTCCTCTCATACCTACAAGGCTGCTTTATCCCGCGAATTAAATTATCCAGAATTTTTCTCTATTTAGATCGCCGCCACTATATCGATAGTTTTTCTTTTCACGTTTTCTTTTCTTCACTGTCGAATCGCAGGTATTACTTTACGTGTATTTTTATTTTCGTGTGTCACGGGGCCAGATTCGAGTCGGGAATCGTTTTCGACAAGACGGAAACTCGCCAATCTCTTTCGTGAGAAACTGTTGAGAAACTTCCTGGTTGCATTTGAAGGAAATTTTTACCAAAGATGGAATATCGCAGAGACGAGAAACTGGTCGATTCGATGCATAAGATACGAAACGTGGAAAAGGTATAAAAGGCATTGAAATTCCGGCAGATATCAATTATCCTATTGTTATTCTTTTTTTTTTTTTTGATGATTATTCGTGAACGTCGTATCTTATTGCATCGTATATTCAAATGAGATTCATGCCCAGAAAGAGTAAATTATTTTGTTAATTCGATTTTTAAAATAGCTTCTTCGAAATCGAAAAATTGTTCGAGAGAATTGAGAGCGGATCGAAGATTTTGACGTTACCTACGTATGGTAATAAAAATTCATTTTATTCGCGTGAAAAAACGAGAAAAAATTCCCCTCCCCCCCTCCCCCGAGCTTTTTTATGATATAATAAGCAGCAACAGAAATAGAGGGTAAATTCGAGAGTAAATTAACAGCGCGAAAGATGATGTAGAAATCTAATTAACCGTTTCGAAAATGCAGTCGCGTTAATTAACCGAGTTCTATCGATTAATGTTTCTCCCATTTATTTACCGCGAACGAGCTCGTGCGTGGCAATCGCGTATTTGCTGTTGCGAGGGGAAAAGTAGAGATCAAATAAACGCTATTTTTCGTGTCGAGGAGAAGGGGGAGGGAGGGGAGGGAGGGGTGGAGGGGGAGGGAGACTCGAGCGACGAGTTGATATTTAATTTGTGAAAATGAAAGAGGGGACTATGCCCGAACTACGCAGGAACTAGGCGCACGCGATGAAATTTCGCGATTAACGTCACATTTTCGAACAAAAGTTTAATCTAATCCCTTGTCCGAAACATTTTTCGCTTCAAATGGTAAAATCAGGTGAGACGCTCGCGTGTATAAAAAGTGATTTCACTCGATGCGATGATGAAAATACGTTTAACACTTTGCAAATATTAATTCTCTTAATAAAAATCTCGAGTAAACCGGGAGTTGGTTTTCGATTTTCACGCCGCGTTCATTCATTCGCGGTTGCCGGCGATGCAATTAACGAAATCGGGAAAGTGAATTAAATCAACGAATCGGAAATGCAATTATGGAATCGTGTTTCTTCGATTTTCGAGAATATTAAGAGTAACTATCATATTGTAATATGTGTATTCGTGTTATCGGTAATGAATGTCGTGCAATCAATATAATTATTGATAATGACAGTGATGATAAAAATAATTGACAATTACAAAATTATCTTATGATTTATTTCTAATTTAATAGAAATACGTACAGAAATATACCGATAACACGATCATGGTCAAATTTAATAACTACTAGTTTCGTTAAGCAATTAGTTGAAATAACTTTATTTGAAATTTTCAACTAGTTGCTTTTTCGATGCTCTGAATCACGATTACGAAAGAAAAAAGAATGAAGAATGTTATCGTATCCTGGGTCAAGTGCGTTAAACGTTTAAAACGTTTTAATTCGAAGAACAAGCGTGACAAATCTGTCCAACGGTTCGTGATCAGGTTGCAAAGCGACGGATTTAAAAAACGAGAGGGAAATACTTTGGAAGGAAAAAGAATTCCTTTTGGAAATTCCTCGCGTTTCTTCGACTCAGTAAACGGTGAAATTCGATATTCAGGATTTCACGAAAGACACGTAGACGTCGATAACTAGAGGGAAAGCAACGATTTCAACGTTTCAATTCGATCGAATCACTTTCGATGAATAACGTATATTTTAAAAACCGAATCTTTTTCTCATTTTTCCGAAACTTAAGAACAAATAACGGATTTACGTGTAATTCTAAAAATCCCAATCATCCAACATGTCCTTCTCGTCAAATGTATATGTTTACCTTCTTTCACCATTGTTGCAATCGAGTTGTTTAAGAAAAATACATCACGTTTGTTTAAACAATCGAACTATTTATCATTTCCATTTCTTTTACTAAACTTTTGCATAAACTTTCGTGGAACAACTGAATCAATAATCACACCGATCGATCTCTCTTCGACAATCGTCTATCTAACTCGAAACAATCTAATTCCAAAGTTGATGTCGTGGTGTCGCTGGTGTATGCATGGCGGATCGACGAGGAAACAGTTGCAGATAGAATTGTAGAAATATAAAGGAGAAGAGTGAAAGAGAGGGTAAAGACGAGACGATCGCGTTGAAAATGGCGGGCTAAGTGGTATTGTTCTCTGGATGGAGACGTAGGAGGATTTTTACCTTCTCGTTCTTGTACCGTCTAACGACCCTTTTGAGCTGTCGCCGTAGGAGGAGGTTTTTGAAGCGAAGAAACAGAAGAAGGAAAGAGAGAAAAAAAAAAGAATGGAAAACAAGAGGAGAATAGGATAGAAGAAGGGAAGCCAAGAGTCGAAATAGGTACGTGCCAAAGTGGTCAGAACCTTGACGACCTGTGCTACCGTTCTTCAAGAACCTCGATAACGCTGTCAGTCATTAAACCATCGACTATAGTGACAATACTTGAAAACTCGCGAAGAAACAATAATCGAAGGTGAAGAATTCTTGTTCTATTTGAAGATTTCTTTTTTTTAGAAAGATGAGAAAAATTGTAACGAGAGTTAACGAGAAATTAATTATACGAGAAGAGAGATATATATGTATGAAAGTAATATGTAGAAAAAAAGAGGAACTGAAAGAAAAATATTAAAGGTGAGGTTAAGTGTTAAGCCATTACGATTTTTCTTCTCTTAGATTAGAAGAAGGAGAATAGTCGAAGATAGACGAGAAAGAAATTGTTGAGGATCTTTCTTCTGTTTAAGGAGTCGAATTTTTTTCTTTCTTACCAAAATGGGAAAAGTTGTGCGAGAAATTAATTATACGAGGAGAAATATATAAACGTATGAAAATAATACGTAGAAAAAAAGGAAAATTGAAAGAAAAAATTAAAGGTGAGGTTAAGCTGTTATACTTTTTCTTCTCTGGCAATAAATTAGGATAATTCATAAACCGTAGTTAAGAAAAAAGAAATATAACGTAGAAATCTATTTGAAAAAAAAACGAGAATGAATGAACGCGCTGAGGAAATATACGCGACATAAATTTTCCGGTGGATCGAAGATCGTACGATTCAATTTATAGGTTAGCCAGTCGATGCGCGACAAAGAACACCGTTCCATCAGTGCAACGATTTATTCGTCGAAATTCAACTTGATCGACCAGTCCATACTCAATCGCGAGCTCGAATATATCGATACGTTTCGCCTGCGCGAGGAAATTCGTTAAATTGAAGGATATATTTTCGATCCATGTTGCTCTTACGGCGTGTAGTATGTCGCGATGTTTGAAAAAAACATGGAACGCTATACACATACGAGAATATGGAACGAATATATTCCATGGAACGAAGCTTTGCCAACGAAGACACGTAGAAAATGACGATTGAATCGTCTCGACGAGTCGTCGATAGTCGATATCGTCGATGTCAATTTGACCTCGTGGGAATCCTTTTTTTTGAGTTCTCATCTTGGATGCGATCGGGGTTAACGAACAGCGGATGAGAAGGCATGCAAATGAAGAAGCTAAGAGTGAAAAAAAAAAGCAGCATGCGAGGCTGAAGTCGTTGGTGCATAAATCATCGATGCAAATGACGAGTGAAGCTAAATAAATGAGAAAGAAGCGGTAAGAAGAACGATTGATACGGTGGGAAAAAATATGTTTATATTCGTTTTTTGCGAGGATTTATGAGGCGAAAGCATCATTTTCGATTAGATTTATCCATCAAAATTTTTTTAAAATTACATTTAATGACTTGAGTTTTTTTTTTCAGAAATTAAACGAATTAATCTACTGGATCAATTTTTTTTCAATCTTAATTCTCTTTGATGAAAATATAAAAATTATATTTTTATCAATTGATGCAGAAAGCAACAGGCATCGAACAATCTTTAGATTTTAGAAATTTGTGTTTGTAACTCGTAAGAATGTTAACCGATTTTGATGAAATTTTTATTATATATATACAAAATATAAATCTTTAAATTTTCATGAAGAAAGATTAAAAAGTTAGAAAAATCGTTCTAATCTTTTCTAATCTAATTTAGTCTAATAGTCTAAATTAATCTAATCTAACTTTTCAAAAAAAAAAAAATTCAAGTCATTAAATCGAATTTTAAAAAAGATATCGCGTTTTCAAAGGCCAAACCAACACTTTTGCGATCGATATTTTATTTACTCACATCACGATCCGCGAAGTGTAAACGAGTTTCGTCTAGATTGCGTAACGAACAAAGTAATTCTCTCGTCGATATTGGTCCTACGTAATTTCGCATCGTGTTTCATGCGCGTTCAACTCGCGATATAACGAACAAAGGAACAAATTGTTCGAACTTACGTAGAAAGAGGAACCGCGTTTTTCCCGATTTCGAGACAACGAGTGTTCATCATAACGCGAAATACATCGACCTGAATCTTCATCTTTCGAGTTGTAGCTTTTGAAATTCCGCTCGTCATTTCAGAAGCAGCTTTGCAAACAGTCGCAAAGTTATCGTTTATTATTCATATGGTTATTCGTGGTATAACGACAATGTTTTGATCGCATGTCTCTTCCACGTTGTTGAAAATTGATCCATTTTAAATGAAACTACATATATACAGGGTGTCTCAAAAATATTGGAATATCTCCGTAAATTGGAGATTCCTGAAATAATTTTAAGCAACGCATTTTTCTTTGCAAAAACTTTACGGCTTTGGTAACGAAAAAACATTGGCCAATCACGAAATGCGTAGCCTAATATACTATGTGTCGCCACGAACAAGTTCAAGCAACATATTTCGAAGAAAGTGTGTTGAATATTATATTTATTTATTTCATTGTTCGTGATATAATTCGATATAATCTTTTATCGATAAAAAAATATTTATCATATTTGATATGTTGCTTGATTCGTGCTCGGTTAGCAACATATAGTCAACGCTATTATAACTGTTCAGTGAGGTTACACGATTGGTCAGTTTTTTTTTGTTAATAACAAAGCCATAACGAAAATTTTCGCAAACGAAAAGATTGCTTGAAATAATCTTGAGGAATCTCTAGTTTATTTCGATATTCCAACATTTTTGGGACACCGTGTATATATTGATATACTTAGCAAGAAAAATAATCCCTGATGTTGAAAGAAAGTTCACGAGAGGAAGGACAAATAAGAGAACTGCGCGCATCTCTCTAATCGAAACGAAAAATCTACTTTACACAATTTCCATCGATGTTTTCTTGAAAGTTCGTTTCGATTTGTTAAGTATAAATCATCTTAAGTTATTTCCAAAACTATTCAAAATTTTTTTTTCTACAAATGGAAATATATCGGTGGAAAAATATCTCTTGATTTCCTTCGAAATAAAGTCTGTGCGCGGCACGATGCTCGTTTTTCGGTGGCGCACATACGCCCTCTCGACGCAGAGCGAAGAAATTTCCGGGCAAAGCGATACGACTCTCGTTTGTCGTTGGCGCCATGTCGGATTAACGACGTTATTTCATTCGAGGCAAGCCGCGATATTAATTCTCGCGTCGCGAATACAAATTACTTCATTTTCAAGTTATGGAACTATTTTCACACCACGCACTTTCAACGAGTCTGACCTCGACTCTTATAATTATCGATAAGCACGATTTCTGAAAATCTTTTTTTTCTTTCTGACGCGCAATTCGCGAGTTTTCGTGGAACAAAGTTTGAACTCGAGGCTGCTCAACGACGTCACGCCGTCTCCGCGTTAACGCGAAGCAACACGGCTTGAAACCACATTCGTGCGGTTGCCAATGTTCACGTATTTCCCGCATGCACGCGTTAATTTTACACGGGCGTGTAATATTATCCCGTAGTTACGTTTTACCCATTCTCTTTCAACTCCGCCCATACTTGATCCCTTTCATCGCGGGCCAAAAGCTTGGGCTGTTTTTCATTGAATCGCTAGAATTGAACCGCTCGCAATTGATCTTGTTTTCACGCGAAATCACAAAAGATTCCTGCTGCGTTGTAATTTTACGTCTCGCTCAACCGTTAATTCCACGTAACGCCTTTGCTTTCCATTCGATCATTTAACATTCATACGTATCGTACATCGAGCGAACAATTGAGTTGGACGATATTTGTATAACGTTTCCGTGTCTTTGTAAATTCGTTCCCTCTTTCTCTTGGTTTTTGTTCTCTCTTTCTCTCTCTCTATCTTTTCATCGGTTTCCAGTGGTGAAAAGCTTGTCTTCGCCTCGAAGATATCGCGTCGGGGATTTTTCCAAAACGGTCCACCGCGTTTGTGAATATTCATGAGAAGCAACATTGCACACGCGTCATCGTGACAGGCGTAGAAGGCTCGAGGGGATGTGAATACGTGTTGCACGGCAGATCCATCGAGAGAACTGATTTTCGCCACCTGGAATCACGCGATCGCGAAGGTTATTTTTCAATGGAACATTTCCATCTAGAACGGGTTGAACATCTCGATTTTTTTTTTTTCTTTTAAATTATTATTATACGAGACTAAAATATCCGTGTCAAAACTTTTTTTACTTTTAACGAAATCTGCGATTCCACGATGTTTTCGTACGAAGAACCTGTGTAAATATACGGTGTATAAATATTTCTATCCAGTCTTTGGAAATCACGCGAAGGGAAAAAGAGTTAAAACGGAAACGATCGTGTCGGGGGAGAAAAAAAAGGATCGGGAAAACTCTCAAAAAATGAAATTGTATATGTGTATACTCTCGCTTAGAGGCTATAAATCAAACGAAAAAATCGTAGCCACGCTCCCAGATTCACGGATACGTGTTTCATAACTATACGCGAGTTTATTTCCATATGTCCTGCCCGTGTATACTAAAGAGACTAAAATATCGACCAGACACTCTCGTGCCCCAGTTCGCCCAGAATTCTCGTGCAATTTCGTTGATATTTCGAAAAACGGTCGATGTTATGTATCGCGAAATTTCCTTCCTTCTTTCCACGTGTATTTTATTTATTTATTTATTTATTTTTAAGATTCTTTATTTAAAACCTCTGTTTTTTATTTTTCTTGTGTAGCTTGGATTTATCAATTTTGCATGATTTCTCCATCCTCGCTCGAGTGACCCAGGATAAATTTCTAATCGATTGTGATAAATCGAAAACAAATTCGGCTGTGATTGGATTCCGATGTTTCTATTTCATCCAAAGACAGGTGATTTTTAGTTCGTCGGTTAAGATATACTTTGGATTTTTCTTTTTTTTTCTATATTTTCAGCATTTTCGAGCAGTTCAGGTTTCCTTAGTCGATTTACAAGCGAGGTCTCAACAGCAGTCACTCTAGAGAGGTTATAATAGAGATACAATAGCGATGGCCAGTTGACAAGTCGCACGCATGCGCGAACCATGGTTGGCTATTAAACCGTTGAAAAAGTAACTAGTTATTTTAAAATTTTATTCTATTGGTAATGCAGTGAGTCGATCCGCTCGCCGTATAACAGTTCAGCATCGCAGTTATCCGGGATTATTCCATGTTTTGAATAATAAATTTTATTCTTTCAACTTCAATTATTAAATTTTGTCCGTATATGGAAATAGTCAATTGCTTTGCGACAATTGTGCATTGAGCAGTGCAATAAAATTGCTAATCAATTTTAATTAAAACGAGTAAATATATATATATATAGTAATTATGTATATAGTTGATTAATAAATTATTGAACTAACTTTTTATTTCTTAATTTCAGTTATTAAAATCTCTGAACGACGAATGTGACGATTTTCCTCCAAGATGATTACCAGAGGGAGAGTTAAGATTCGCTACAATTTTCAAAACCTCTCCATTCCTCTTTTTCACCCTTTCTTAATTCGCATTTTCGTCGAGGATGATTTCCAGAGGGAGAACCGAGGCTCGTGATAATTTTCAAAGTCGTCCTCCAACGCTGCCTTTTTTCAACCTTTCTTAATTTTCGTTCAAGATGATTATTTGGAGGAAGAACCAAGGCCCAAATGTTCAAAACTATCCTCCTATTGCTCTTTTTCATCTTAATTCGCATTTTTGTCGAGGATGATTATCAGAGAGAGAATCTATATTTACAAAATCGTCCTCCAACATTGCCTCTTTTTCATCCCTTCTTAATTTTCGTCCAAGATGATTATTTGAAGGAAGAACCAAGTTTTCAAAGCTATCCTCCAACGCGGCCATTGCTCTTTGATCATCTGAATTAAGAACTTGCGACGATTTTTAGAACGAGAGTTTAGATCAGACTGCAGTTAAACGCAAGAGAGTTCGTTCAGAAGTCGTGGAATTCGTGGATCGGTCAGCTGCAAAAACAATTAGAGTCAATTGAGGCGCTCCTTTTTGCGCAATACTCGAAGCCACGCTTTGTCAAACGCTTGAAACAATTACTCGTGGATTATTTTCAACTACCATGATTCCACAATCTCAATAGTAGTAATACGAATTTTTCTTTCTCTATTCTTTTTCTAGATTGAAACGTTAATGTTTTAAATAGAAGCTTCGCCAAAGATATTTATTTCTCGTTTCAAACAGTTCTCGGGGAGAGAAAGACGGACAGGGAAGACGGCGGGAAATTTATCGCTATTCACAGCCAACCTCCATCCACCTCTTTCCCTCAAAGAGAATTATTCCTGTTGTCATACATGTGACCGACTTTCCATCCGGTTCCATCGAGGAGAAGATGGAGAAATCCTGCGAGAGATGAGATAAAAAAGAAAGAAAGGAGAAAATAAAATAATAATTCGATCGATCGGTGGAGTGCTCCTCCAACCCCGGGCTGTCGCCTCTTATTTGCTCTGGAGGAGCAATATTTCAAAAGAATAACAGCGGACGTTTCTCCCTTTCTCCTTCTCTTTTTCGCATAAAACGAATAATCGAAAGACAGAAAATAGACGATACGTTATATCGGCGAATAACCGATGCACGGTTCACAGTTGGAAATTATACCAACTTTCTAAATTATTGGCTGGTTAAATTTATTACACCGATTTATTCCACGGTTTATTTTCCCCCGATCGATCCCCGGTTTCTCGATTAAATTTACGGACAAAAATCGGATTAATTAATTATTCCAAAGAATATCGATGGGGAAAGTATCGAAATGTTAATACCCACGAATCAATATCCCTTTTCTATTATATCGCTGTGATATAAGAACGCGGATGATGATGAGATTTCGAGGTAAAGTAAAGAAACGTAATTTTTCTTTGCAGGCATGCGACTGCTTGGGAATCAGCAAGGAATGCGACTACTTCGGGCTCAAGTATCAGAACGCGAAGGGCGAGGAGCTCTGGTTGAATCTGAGGAATCCCATAGAGAGGCAAACGGGGGGCGGTGTTGCCCCTCTGAGATTCGCGTTGAGGGTTAAGTTTTGGGTACCGCCTCACCTGTTGCTGCAAGAAGCCACCAGGTAAAAGGAAGGAAAGAAACTTTTCTCGGGGAATCTTTCGAAATTCGAATATTGTGTGTAAACGAGCAAGTTATGAAGCAAGAAACCCAGATACGATCCCGCGCGACCTAGATTTACCGGGAATGATTTTCGCCGAGGGAAGAATTTCCTCTCTCGGTCGGGCAGAATTGCATCACCGAATTGGATATAATGCGATGGATATATTTCGAGTCGTGTAATCGAAGATGGGTATTGGTTCGAGGCGAACGAGGTAAACAGCGAAAAGCGTGGACGGATTGTTGCGAATCCACGTGGTGGTAGGAATTTTCGAGCAATGACGCTCGATGGACGAGGCAAATTTGCGGTCGATTCGTGCGTGTGCGAATAGCGAAGGTGAGCTAGGATCGTGATTAAACCGAATCGGGTAATTAATCGGCCTGTTCTCTCGGTTATGCAAGATTTCGTCGGGATTGTAATTCCTTTTGACTTGACGCGTTCGTCACCCATATATGGATGATGATTTCTTCTTCTTCAAAGAAAAAAAAAAAAGATTTTAACCATTTGTATTTATATTTAAGAAGAATTTCCTTCCAATCCAAACTGGGAATTTTTATTTTTCGTACTCGATCAAAATGAAAATACTTATCTGGGAATTGATTCTATTACAAGTACAAGAAAACACGATATAAGGATAATCGTCTCGTCTCTGTTCACGATAGCTGCCAATCGAATTAAATTTTCGATCGCGAAAGGGAAAAAAAGAATGAAATTCCACGAAGAAAAACCTATTCTTCGACCGGGCGCGAGTCGATTTCGGATGATCGCGACGTTTCAGAATTTCATTAAAAGCGGGATCGATCGATCGATCGATCTAGGTTTTCGACTATCTTTCGAATGGACGTACGGAAAGAGCATACGAATCCCCTCGTCGACGAGATATCCTTCTTGCCAGATGAATTTGTATCGCACCAGAACACTCTCCCTCGCCCCGAGTTTCATAATCTCGATTAGCCTAAATCGATTATAGCGTTAGCGAGAAGTGGGTCAATTTTGAAAGTTGAAAAGGACGGACACTTCCACGTTTCCCATCATACTTTCTCGTCCCGTCCCGATAATCCGTGTCGAGGACAATTAATAACCGACCACCGATTATATCGCGAAATTTTGTCCATCCTGGAAAATAACATAATACCCCCCCCCCTCTCTCTCTCTCTCTGTGTGTGTGTGTGTGTGTGTGTGTGTGTGTGTGTGTGTGTGTGTGTGTGT